TGTTGTCTGTAGATTTAATTTTTATTAATTTCACAGTGAATTAGTTCTATAATTTTGGTGAAATGTCTCATTGCGAAAATTTAATCAATCCTTCCAGATCCAGATTTGTGATTTATAAAAATGATGACTCACTTAACCCAACGCATTTAGCTTTGCCTAAAAACCTTCGAGAAACTATGAAAATGCCGGATAAACCGCTGGACATCACTTCCTTATATAATAAGAAATTTTTGTTTTTTCTTACCGAAGAAGACCAAATGTTACTTCCAACGGTCTCGGCATTCCAAGCAAAAATGAACAAAAAAAATGCAAATACAGGGCGTAATTTCTCTACTTAATAATTGACTTCCACGAATCCGAAGGATGATTTTACATGGATGGAAATTTGGTTATTTTTATTGCCCTGAGAGACGCGACAATAAAGGACGAGACTCTGCACGAGACTCACCCAGGACAGTAAGGCATAAAATTATTGGCATAATAATTTTGATGGCCTCAAATCTACAGGCAGATATGTCTTCAGGGTATAAATTTTGCCCAATGTATGAAAGTGCATAAGATTACTGAAATTCTAACTCCAAACAAACTCGTAGGAAAACTACCACATCTTTTGGATTAAAACGTAGAAGTGGATTTAGATTTCGCGTGGAATTATTATGAGGCACAAAACTTTTTATCCTTTTTTGCCTTGATTGTTTCGCAAAATGTCTTTCAGCAAAAACCTCGTCAGTTACCTCAGCTAATGCCATCATCGATTTGCTCCAAGATAAAGACCAGTTACACAACACAATAAAAACAGGAAGGGTAGATCATATTTCTTGGTTTATAATTTTTTTGCAATTTTAATAACAAAAAACTTTGCACAGCCGGCGATTATTCGCAATATTGTTCAATTCTCCTAGACTTTCACTTAACGACGTGAAGTTTTCAGCCTCAGATAACTTGATTGATCTTTTAGACAAAAGAAACTCAAGCCTCGCTAATGATAGAGCGCAAAACTGGGAAACTGACGTCAGGATTGAAAATGGTTACACTAACGAAGCCCTATCTCAGAAAAACAGAAATCCGACGGATAAGGAGGACCAGACCAAATTGGCAGGGATCTCAAACAACAAAATTCCCGTGGATAATCCCTTTTCAAAAGGTACATCTTTCGCAAAGTAGATAATCGAACTAATGTGAGCTCCTGTTTCGAAGACTTTAAGTCAAAAAATTTTATTCTATCAAATCAACAATAGTAAAACTATCCGTTGAAAAGTTGTTGGTAGATCGGACTTCGCAGTGAGAAAATTGGAGTCATTAAAACCTCGCACTTTTCGGAAGAGTTTTGGTGAAAATTCTCAAAAAGAAAAGGCATGAAACCTGAGAAGAAGAGAACCACCTGATGGATAATTCTTCAGATTACTTTGCATAAGACGAATTTTGCTTCAGATCTTAAACCCTTAGATATCTCAAAATTTTCATAACAATATAAATCACAAGCTTACGAATAAACCTGTTAGACGTACCTCACACGGTAGAATGCCCAATTTTAATAGTACCCACAGATCCGAAGGACACTGACGCCAAAAACACTGGTCAGGTAACTCTTCAGAATTAGTGTCACGTAGATCTTCGCGTAACGGCATTTCACCAAAAATTTATGGTAATCGACATTGCATAGATATTTTACACTAAACCTTTTCAGCTGAAAACTTCTTTGTGATCGAACAATCATCTGACATGTCTGCCATGATCGATGAAAACACAAGGGCGTGCACTACTGTCTTGAGACAATGTAACAGGAACACTACACTGGCTTCAGATATTCAATCGACAGTGAATACTTCGGATTCAACTATCAACAGTCCATTAACCATCGATCCATATCAGTCAGGAAGCGATCTACCAGAAGACATGACACAAGCTCGGACATATCAACCGCATCTTTTCTCAGACAAGAACTAGCAAACTGTGACACCCCGTCCCAATCAGACAACCACCCGCACCGGAGTTCCATGGATAATAATCGATTATATTGGAAAAATGTTGTCTGAAATGTTGTCATTATAATCCATTATAATCCATTGTAATCCATTATTGTGGCAAATTTAGACCACGTAATCGATTATGTGGTCATTAAAATAGATTTTTTTGAAAAATAAAAATCCATTATAATCCATTATGATCCATTATAATCCATTTTTTTCTTCAATATAATCGACTATTTTGTCAAGAAAATCCATTATAATCCATTTTATTTCGTTAATTAAGGCTATTCTATTTTTAGTTCTTTCTATGTCTGGAAGAAAAAAGCAAGTTTAAAAATGTAAAATTCCTAAATTTTCCTAAAATCATGCAGTTAAAGCAAAGAATAATTTAAGACATAGAATCATACATTTAAAACGAATCAGAAAAACAGGTTAAATGTGTTCATCTTAATGTTCTCCCATTTGTTCATATTCATGTTCTCCTAAACTTCTCCAGAACCAGTGACCTCTGCGGGCATCGGGTAGGAGGCCCAGTGACCTCTGCGGGCATCGGGTAGGAGGCCCAGTGACCTCTGCAGGCATCGGGTACGAGGCCCAGTGACCTCTGCGGGCATCGGGTAGGAGGCCCAGTGACCTCTGCGGGCATCGGATAGGAGGCCCAGTGACCTCAGCGGGCATCGGTTAGGAGAACCAGTGACCTCAGCCGGCATCGGGTAGGAGAACCAGTGACCTCAGCGGGCATGGGGTAGGAGAACCAGTGACCTCAGCGGGCATGGGGTAGGAGAACCAGTGACCTCAGCGGGCATCGGGTAGGAGAACCAGTGACCTCAGCGGGCATGGGGTAGGAGAACCAGTGACCTCAGCGGGCATCAGGTAGGAGGCCCAGTTACCTCAGCGGGCATCGGGTAGGAGAACCAGTAACCTCAGCGGGCATCGGATAGGAGAGCCAGCGACCTCAGCGGGCAGGAGAACCAGTGACCTCAGCGTGCATCGGGTAGGAGAACCAGTGTCCTCAGCGGGCATCGGATAGAAGAACCAGTGACCTCAGCGGGCATCGGGAAGGAGAACCAGTGACCTCAGCGGGCATCGGGTAGGAGATCCAGTGAGGGCAACTCTGTTCCAACCTGCGAATGATTAAAACAATCATGGAAAGTAGAATTCAAATCTTATGATTATAACAAGTCTTCTTTGTTTGCGAACACCATTTACCATATTAGCTGCCAGCCCGACCGAAAAATTCTAGTAATAATTTTTTGATTAACGTTCCAGGGTTAGTTCTGGGTATAATATAACCGTTTTAGGTCTGGGTAATATAAACGTTCCAGGGCAGGTTGAAATAATATAAAATTACTAAGGATTATTAGTCATATTTTGTCATGTTTGGGTCTATTTGCGTTTTAAAGTCAATTTGAGGTCGCACAATTTCAAAACTTTTTTTTCGAAAATTTGAAAAAAAAATTGTAAAAAAAAAATTAGGAAAATATATATTGAATTTAATTTATTCCATACTAAGCACCTGACATTGGTAACAGTTTCCCTGAAAATTTAAAAGAAGAAATTCGCAATTATAATCAATTATAATCGATTATAATCGATTAAAAATGGATTATTCTGCTTTAAAAACAAATTATATTCTCTTTCAAAAATAATCGATTATAATCCATTATAATCGATTATATTGGGATTATGTTGCTTAGAAAAATAGTATCATAATAATTCATTTTTAATCGATTATAATCGATTCTTTTTGTAGTTTTATTGAGATTGTCAACAAAAATCCAATATAATCGATTATTATCCATGGAACTCCGGTGCGGGCAGATTCCTTTGGAACTAGTTAGATGTTTGTCTTGAAAGTATCAAACCGATGCTAAACAGTGTTTAAACTGTAACCTTCGTCAGTGTTCGGCGCTCAGTATTTAATTTTCAGTGCTAAAACTACTTATTCGGCGCTAAGCGTGAAATTCTTTCAGAGCCGTACTAATTTTTTTCGTACACATGAAGTCATCATACCGAGAACTTTTCACACTTTTTAGTCCGTTGGAGTTCTCCTAAATTTTTAGTAGCATCAATTTGTTTCTCCTACTTGAAGACAGTTACTTACTCTGATTTTATACGTTTTACAGTATTGTTTACTTCGTTCCTCATGCTGCCGCGGGAAAAGAGATAACTTAGTTAGTTGTTATTTATTAATTGCCATTAAAAAAATTTTTCCCATCACGGGGAGTGTTGTGATCTGATTTTATGACTTTTTCTTCACTTTATTAACAGGTCTGAGTCTGACCTTCTACATTATTCACTCCTTCGGAGTAATCTAACTCCTTCCCGCACCGGAGTTCCATGGATAATAATCGATTATATTGAATTTTCGTGGTCTGTCTCAATAAATTTCGATAATAATCGATTATAATCGATTAAAAATGGATTATAATGAAACTATTTTTCTAATCAATAAAATCCGAATATAATCGATTATAATCGATTATTTTTGAAAGAAAATGAAACTTGTTTTCGAGGCAAAATAATCCATTTTTAATCGATTATAATCGATTATAATGGATTTTTTTGAGGGGTTATTCTTGAAATTTACAATTTCGTTCAAAATTATCTCATTTCCTGTTTAGTGAAGTTGCTACGAATTACGTTTTATAAAATGTTACATTTCAGAATAAAATGTATATTTTTTTGTCTCTACTTTTTTTATTTCATCGCAGTTTAACTAATGTCTGTACGATCAAGTAATTCACTTAATTTAGCAATAAATAATTTTATCCTAATGCAACTTACAAAAAATACTCGAGACCAATCAAGGAGCAGTCGGAACAATCAGGGCTTTGCCATGATTTACAAGCACTTTTACACTTCCCCTTGTCTTGCAAATTAGGTGTGATTATGGCTATATGCGTAATGTTGCGATGAAAGGCATGGAGATCAAACAGGTGCACAATTGTTAGTTTGTTCACCATGTTTCACTCTTTGTTTTGGTTGTTTCAATTATCAATTGTCATTTTAATACTAAAACAAAACTGATAAGATTAAGTATTTTCAATTAAATATACAAATTACTCAATTATTGTATCGGGAGCAAGCTGCGTTCAGTTCTGAAAAACCTCAGAGCCAAGGTTGCCAGACGTTTCCCCTTAAAGCCGGGTTAGCTTTCTCGTCGTCTTTAAACGTTATAGCTGATGACACTGCTGATTTTTTGAAATGGTGCAGTCGTTTCTTCAGTTGACTCACAACATCCGGGAGGTTTTCGGCGATGTTGTCATACTCGCAGGGATCTGTTTTGATGTTGAAAAGACATGCGCCCTCTTCACCCACACTTAGCTTGCATTCTGTAGTTTGACCCGGCAATGTGCACTCTACTAACGGGAGTTCCCAATTTCCCTGGAATCGAACTCGGTCGCTAAAAGATACAAAAGTAGACGGTTGAAATGCTGAGTTCTGACCGAAGTGGTTAACTCATAGAGTAATTTCGGATAGGGTACACCGTCTGCTCGTCACGCTATCTTATTTTCGGCCGGATAGATTCGTGCAACTTCTTAGTCTAATACCGATCCTAATCTTACTCTTATATCTACTAGTCTCAGGGTGTTTAACTAGTCTCTGCTAGGCTCAATAGATCTAGAGTATACTGGTTTATTGCGGCAGCTGAAGTTCTCTTGGAGAGGCAACTAGATTCTAAGTTAAATTCAAATCTCTCTGGTGCTGAAAATACAACTAATTTCAGCACTTACAAATAAGTGGGTTGTTAGTTAGATGGATTATGATTGGTTAATATTAAATATTTTACAGTGGTAAAATATCCAATTTATCCAATAATAAAATGTAGTTTAGATCAAGTTCCACCCATCCGGGGTTTACAGAGTTTTATAGAACTGTCTTTCTTCTCTGCAATTTGAAGGATGGATGATGAACCTCGGTATTTGGCGAACATCATTTTCTTATCCAGTTCCTCTTGGAGAAGAACTTTCCAGGACGCTGGAATTATGGATAGGAAATTGTTATGTCGTCATTCGACAACGACTGTGATCCCCAATGAAATCAATCCGATTTCAAAATGGTTTGCTATGACAGGTTTTTCTGTATTATGTAGAGAACTTATTTTGTGTGCAACCTCGTCTGGGAATGGCGTGAAGATCGTGTGTGGAAGGGATGCCTTGTAACTCGGATCCGTACGTATACTTGAACATCGAGGTGGTCATTGTTCTAGTTCAATGAAGTCCTTTTCTGCGACGTCAAGTCGTACTCTAAATCCTTTGAGTTGTGATTGTGGACAGCATGTCGGTTGTGTTTAGCCATTTTTTTGTTCGAGTGTGATGGGATCATCTAGTCTTTGGATGTTCGTCTTTGTTATTGGGTATGATCTATATACTGCAAAGTAGGATTTACATTTTATAAAATTATGTTAATTCGGTTTTTTAATCATGAATTTAGTTAGATGTTTTCACAAAAGCGTTTTGTTTTAGTTCGGTTATTTTGAAGAGTTACTCACCCTTGAGTACCTCTTTTTAAAAATAGAAGTGTGGTCACAAAGCGTGGATGTAGCGCGGTGGGTTAGGCCGGCTATAGAGCATGCTCAGGAGGTCATCTCTGGTGGTTTAGGCCAGGAGTGGGAGTATGATTTCATGCTGTTTCTTTGAGAGGTCCTGTTTTGTGATAACGTTTTGTGTTGGTTTTATGTTGGTCTTTCTTATGTTACTTTGGTTGTGTCCTTTTTTCAAAAATCAAATTGTTTTTGGTATGGGTTTGTCTTGCGACTTTTTTGTGTTTTATTATTTCTTTCTTAGACTTTATAATAGTCTTCAAAAGAATAAATTATCCAGTTTTAAGCTGGGTTAATCCGGTTTGGGTACCGTTGGTTTTCTTTTCTTAGTCATGCTGTTATTTTGTTATTAGTATATAATTCCTTTCCAACCGGGTTAAAGGAAAGTTTGAAACTTGGTATCGTGTGTTAGAGATGTTTATAGTGAAAGCTTGAAACTTAAAATCATTATTTAAACAATTCTTCGTGGGCGAGCTGTGCGAGTTTGGATAGAATTCTTGTGCGAGTGAATGAAAATATTGAAAAGGTTAGTACTGCTTTCTCATTTTATGAATTTATTGCATTGAATTTGAATTTTACTGCGTTTTGGGGAAATGTAAAATTATAAATTTTCATCGTAATTAAGTTTACTGCTTCATGGGGAAATAATATATAAATGAAATTACTACCTTTGGTATGAATTTTACTACATTATTTAGTGCAAGAAGTTAATGAATTTTAAGATAATTTAACAAGTTGTATTTTTATTTTTCTTTTCTGTTTTGTAGGTGATTGTGGTGTGAAGACTAGAAATATAAATCAAACATTGGTGGAAAATGATTAGTACTAATTTAAATTTATTAGTTAAGAGTATTTCAAATTATACTTACCTTATGGGAAAAAGCCGTGGGGGAAGATGTCGTGTATCATATCTGATGTTGTTAGTAATTTGGCTAGTATGCGTATGATGTTTTTAGTTTGTAGCAGTGGCCAAAGCAATTGAAGTGCTTTAATGGTGTTTAGTTTTTCGGTGCCTACTGCAAAGGCATAAGGTGTATTTTGAATGAGGTTATATATCTTATGATTATATTTAGTATTGTGAACGAATTCTAATATGGGTATTTCAATAGGCTGGATAAATTCATGCGGGATAAGGAAGGGTCTGAATTCTTCGGCATTGAAGGTCTTCGTAATGGGACAGAATATATACATTTGGGTAACTGGGTCATAGTTGCGGAGGATACCGTGGAGGTTAGTATATTTGATGCAATATGTAAAATTAAGGAAAAGTGGTGACGTGTACCTTGAGTTAAGAAACTGAAAGCAATGGTGAGGTTGTCTTGATGGGGTGTGCAAATCAAAATGATTTTGTATCAAACGATAGTATGTATATGTGTGCGTTTGTTTAGTGCCTAACATAATATCGTGGGAACAGTGCAAATCGCGTTCCTTTGGTGAAAGAAAATGAAAGGTTAGTGAGAATAACTGAAATTTATCATAGAAGCTCTCGTATGCTTGAATATCAGCTAGTGATTCTGAAATAATGTGGTCATTCTTTCTATCAAAAATATTAAGTGTGAATGCGTATGATGTTTTGATGAAAAATTTTTTCTGCTAGTTGCGGGTTTGCGAAGCGGTCTTTGTCTAAAAATTGGTCTTGATTAGGGCGGATGATATTATGATTGTAGTTTTCTATTGCAAATTCGTTAGCTTGGGGTGCAGTGAATGTTTTTAGTAACTTTTTATATCCAACGTAAGTAAACTGTCGACGTGTTAGTGTTGTGGTGAGTCTATATAACATGTTTTTGTTCTTTTCTATGCTGTCATGAGTGTTTGTTAGTGGTAGGCAAAGGGGGTTAGTAAAATTATAATAAGCTGTCCAATGAAGTGTTGGCATTAAAAGATGTTCATCTACAAAATTGCGTGTGTCATTAGTGTCGTTAGCTGTGTTTAATGTATATTGCGGAAATGAGGGTAAGGTGATTTCAAGAAAATCTTTTGTGTTGGTGTGTTGCGGGTGATTAATATATTCGCGGGCTGTTCCGGGTTTGGTTGGGAATGGGTGATTTTGAAATTTTCCTTTAAAAGTGCGATAAGCTCTGTGAGTGCTAGTGGGCGTTTCGGTGGATGTGGATGATTGTGCTAATGATGGAGTGTAAGCTGAGGAGGGTGTGGGAGTAGGTGGATTCGAGGATGTTAATGTGGATGATAGTTGATGTATTGTAAGGGTGTTGGGGTGTATTAATTGTTGTTGTAAAGTTATAAAATTATCGAGCTCCTGGGAAATTTGGGGGGTATCTGGGGAATTATTATATGATCTGTCGGAATGAAGTGGAGAATAGGTCGGGGCTACTTGGGAAGCGTAAGAAGAAGTGGAAATGGATGGGAGTGGATGATTAGATGGGATTAGTTGAAAAGGGGGTTTGGAAAAACTGAGGAGTTGGTCTGGGTATAATTTGAGGGAGATGGTTCGGAGTCTACAAATTCGTCGGGGGTTTCTACATTAGAGTTATTAAATTGTGAGATAGAATATAAAACTGAAATATCTGAGTTAGTAATAGAATTCGTGCTTGATGGTATATTAATAATCGGAAAATTGGGTGGTGGGAAAGCAAAAAGTGGTATGATTGGGATTGGAGTTTGGAGGTTGGCTGGGCGGGAATTTGAGCGATGGAGGGATCCAAGTTGTCGGCTCATCGTGGGCTAAAAAAATGGTTATTTTGAGATTGAAAAGTGGTGGTGTTAGGTTGTTCTATAATTTGTTCATATGTATTGTCATTTTGTGAATGATTTGTCATTATGTGCTGAATACGGCTTTGCGTTGTATTTGGTCTAAAATTTGGGTTATTCGTGATTGCTAGATTTCGAAAATTTCGGGGAACTAATGATAATGGATGGTTTTGTGGTAGGGTTGGTATCTGTGGTGCTGTAGGTGTTGTATCTACATTATTATGTTCTTCGTTATATGTATTTGGTCTTGTGGATATTTTTGTATTGTATTCTTTTATTTGTGCATCTACAAGTATTTTGTTAATTGATGATGAAAAAATCCAAAAAATCCTGCAAATAGTATACGTGCTACGCTTGCTTGTCGGTTTATTTGTGTGTGTATAGCGCATGTGTTATAGATTCCTTTTAACAGTAAGAAAAAAAATCCTATAAAATTAAACATGGCGTATAAGATAGCTAATTTTTCTAAGATGTAATAGGGCCATCCTAGAAAAGCTAGAATTTCGTTTTTTAAGGTGACAAACTGAAAATATTTATAGGTGAAATATCTTGTGGTCTGTATTTTTCACCATTTAAACATAATTAGTCTTTGATATCTCTAAAATATCCGCTATAATCTTGTGAATAAATGTCTGCGAATCCTGCGGTTTCGGCAAGTTTTCTTAAATTCTGGTCAATTGATTGTCTTTGTATTGTGTCCATTTGTGTTAATAATTTTGAAACTGTTGTGTTCTAATGTGATGTTGGATATCTGATTTAGTATATATGTCAATTGATTGTAAATCAATATTTGGATTACGAGCATTAGCTCTGATGCTTTCGGGTGAAAACTTTTTGAGTGATTGCAAGTGTAAGGAGATAGTATTTATCTTCATCGGCATTTAATTGTACACATGGCACTGCGGTATCCCAAAAATATGTTCGTCTTGAAAGTGTGTCGACAAAATGTACTTTACTTTTATAGAATATAGGGATTCTTTTATAACAACGTTTGTCTTCAAAAACATATAGAGGTGATACTTTTTTTGATACAAGTATAAAACCATAAAATGTTTCCATCGTAATCTTGAAAATTTGATCTGTTTCCTGATAATAAGTATCCTGCGTAAGGTATTTTTAGTACTGCTAGTGCAAGTGATTGTAGGATTTGTGTTCTTTCCAATTCGCATAGTTGATGAAGTGTCTCTAATTCGGAGAGTGACATTTCTTGAAAAATTCGACTAATTGTGTAGTCTAATTTCATATCTAAGTAGATATCATAATGAATATTACGAAAATAGGTGCGATTCATTAGTGATAGTTCTTGTGAACGTGTGCTTTTACTGTCATGTGGTTTTAGTTTTCCACCAGGTTGACCTGTGCTTTTTTGAAAGTTAACTGGGATGTATGATGTTCCTTCATTTATAGGATGACTTGTAGCATAATGGTCAAATTTTCTTTTTCCAGTGGTCATGTCGAAACCTTTTTCGTATTCGACAAGTATTTCAGAGTATTGTGTTTTATTAAGTGGATTTCTGTATTTACATGGAAATTCTGTTTCTTGATAGATTTGGAAACGTGTTATTTTATTTTCTATATCATGAATATTTCTAAAATCATTACTTTGTTTTCGGGATGGGTTTACTTGTTCGTATGGAAATGATTCTATAAAACATTTTTCATGAACTTTTATCATTCGAGCGTGTATTTTTGCTACTTGGAATGTTGTGCATGTATCTTCGGGAAACCAAACAATTGTAGCTTGGGTCCTTGTTGTAGGGTCACAATAACCTTGATCATTTTTGCAAGGTAATCTAATTCCTTGATAGATCATTGTGTTATCAGATAAATCTCGTGTGAGTTGTATTTTTTCGAGTTGTATTTTCCAATCGAAAAACATGATCTCTTGGTATCCTTTGTTTTTTGTGTCTGCTTTGCAGTTTGATGGGTCATTTATTCCAATGTGTGCTATCCAGTGTTTATCGTGTATGTCATAAGTTAGTCTTCCGTGTGCGGCGCCGTTATATGGGTATTTTTTGTCTAATTTTACATGTCCTTGATATCGTTCAAGTTCTGCTTGATGTAGAGAATCGGCAAAGACATGAAAATTTACTATTGTTTTGTCTGTGTCAAATTTCACAGACGCTTTTCCCTTTAAATTTTCCAAATAACCTCAACGCTAGATATTGAGAACAATCATCAACAAATATCCCTTTACGACTAGATTGGAATACATTCGTAGCACCCCCACCATTATTTGGACAACATCAAGAAAGTAACCGACTCCACAGTTGGGCACTCAATAGATTACAATATAGACAAGATATCCACGAAGATATTCGAGAACACAATATTCAAATACTTCAACAGAATAGTCTCCAATTAAAATTTGAAATCACGATCAAATTTAACGATATTTTACAACATCCCTACCCATTAAATCCACCAAATATAACAGCTCAATCGCTACCACCACTATTTATAACCACTGAAGTAATATACAAATACGATAGATATACGAAAAACACAATTGGTGACATAACCTTTTATAACCCATACTCAGGAGTATATTCTAAAAATATTAACATTTCAACACATCTTTTTTCTAATATTTTCCGACCAAAACACAAATCCTTCTCCTCGCACAGGACCCCAGGATTTATTAGTAACACATTATGATTGTGAAGAAAACGAACAAAAAACACTACACAAATATGCAATAAATCAAGTATCACAATGCGAAACAGAACCACAAACTATAGAAACTACAAATGTAATAGCAACATTGTATTCAAAAGCCCGAGCAACAACAGTCACAGGATATAAATTTACAGCAACATTTTCCGAAAAGAAAATACATTGTTCACAATTTTCAAACGGAAATAAAAACCGACTTGACCACGAATCGTGTTACCAAAGTAACATAGAACGACTTTTACATCTAAATCCCGATGATTGTAAAAATGAATTACTCAGACTAAATCTAACAAGGTCGCACCAGATAAAATGTAGTTTAGATCAGGTTCCAATGCAATTAGCGCATGAATCTTAAAATTCGCCATTTTTGATTGATTGATTTTCAATGTCGTTGAATGATTATATATATTCCTTACAATGCCAACATCCTCGTTGGCAACATTTCCGTTTCTTTATTTTTGGTGCTGCAAATCGGTAAACATTTTTCTAGATATACGTCACTTATTATGAAGTCAAAGATCTCTTTTCGAGGAGGCTAACTAAACAGAAATTAAAAAAAGGGATTGGCCAACAAACAAGAAACTACAAATCAATGAAATGAAATTATCCATTTTTTGTAAATCATCCCTTCTCAGGACGAAAACTAGAGTTTAGCTAAGATTTGTCACGAGGGGGGGGGGGGGGGTTTAAGCACCTATCTGTTTCGTTGAGGGGGCCCTTCCAGTAGTACCACTCGTCATTGTAATATGACCCTGAGTTTGCAGTGCCCATGTAGTGCAGCTTGTAATCACCCCTGAAATTCAACCAAAATAATTGAAACGACTGATAATTTGGAGGTTTAGGGAAATGTTTGTCAAAACCAACGGAATGAAAAAAGCTGAGAATTTTTTCATATAAAAAAGGTTTTATTTGAATTAATAAATTTTTTTATTAGAACTAATAAAAAGCTATAAAGTCTAAAATACATTAAGAAAACTTTTTAAAAAAATATATGCAGCTGAAACAATCATATTTGCTGTTTCCAGGCCTTCCCATTAATTTTACTGGTGTAAATCTTTTGGATAAGTTTAGAGTGGTAAGATAACCATCGCAATCAACCCCCTCCCGAAGCTCTTCCTTTCCCCAGAATACGTATGGCTCTATGCGTCCAAAATTTATGGAAATGCACTTACACAATGATAGCCGAATTTCCATCATGAGAGTATAATTGGATCAGCACTTCATCACGTGGTCCAGTTACGACACCAGAGTGACTGGTCATTTCACTCCACTGACTCATTCCATCTATGTCATCCGGGAGGTTTTCTGGGTTACCACCTGCTCCCTCTAGTAGCGTGGGCAGCCAATCAGTGATGTGGAAGTAGTCAGAATACACCTTGCCTACAAATTGTTCACTAATTTAATGAGTGTCTCTCCCATTTGAGGTTATCCCTATTTGTAAGAAGCCATCAGGTTGTCAAACGAAATCTTTAAAAAACAAATGGCAGAGGTAAACATAATATTTTTTCACGAATTCAACTGAAAGTTCTTGATTTCAAAGTTTTTCATATGCCGAAACAAAAAAACTTCTAGGAAACATAAAACTTTTCTGTAAATGTAATTATATATAATTACAATTGAGCTTCAAGCTTCGTTACTATTTCGTTATATTTCAAAATTATACCAGTATTTGATCGAAAACTCGACAAAAGACACTGGTGAGTATTTTAAATGGGGTGTATACAATTTATTCCCGATTTTTTGATATTTGAGCATATAAATACGCCGATTAATGCAAAGAACTGTCCACATTGAAAATAGTTTAATCCAATTGCTGATGAGCCTTTTTGTAATGTTTTTTTTACAGGACTGATCCAAAAAGGGAATGATAAATCACCGTTTTGTTAACGGTGATTTACCATTACCTACAGATTGATGAAAGGTTTCGAAAAATTGCACACCTGAAATTAAACTCAAAAATAAAGGAGTAACTTATGATGTACAACTCAGAGCTTTGATTGGCTGAAGAAGAATGCGTTCAACCGAGTGAATGACTATCTCCTCGCTCAATTTTTCTAGGGGGGATTGTTCACTGGACTCCACGAACCTGATCGAACTCCGGGACCTGTAACTAGTGCTGGAGTACGAACACCTCCTTCGAAGTTGGTGTTCTTGGCCCCCCTCAAAGGGTAGTTAGACTGTCCACAGTGGTCACAGATTTGCCCCCCATTATCAGACGCAACCACTATTAGAGTTTCATTCAATATTCCTTCTTGTTCAAGTAGTTGCGCCATACTACCTTTTTTGTTTTTCATTCATTTTTCCATATACATCATTTATCAGTTGGAAAGATTTGAAAGCTCCTAAATCTATCCACTTCTAAAATGAGATCCTTCAAAACCCACAAAGATGACGTTCGAAAACTTAACATATGGTGTGTTTTTCCAAAAAATATGGCGTTCTTTCTTTAACCGTTTTTATACCCTTGTTTTCTAGAAACAGTTTTTGATGGTAGATATCTAATCAACAGACAACATTTTTTTCAGATTCGATAAAATAAACTTTGAGGTTTGAGTGCGAGATAAAAGTGATCCCAAGTCGGCAGTTTCGACATCTTTTTCAAAAATTGTCTCTGTAAAATTTGTGGTAAAATTTACAAAAAAAACCTATGCATGTACAGGGAAAATGTAAAAACTCATTCCTATGTTATCATCAACGGAGGCAACTTGAGCGAGGTAGTCGCGTCGGTCGACGTCGTAGACTCCTCGGAACCGAGAGATGAGTTCGGATTTGGGCTGAATCGGAGTGTGAACGCCCGAGTAGGCCAAGTACAGGAAGAAAGGCTCCGATTTAAATTTCTTTTCCTTGATAACCTGAAACGTGACATTCTTAAATCAATTGATCTTCTGTTGAAAAACGACTCAATTAAAAAAAAAAAAGCTAGATCTGTCTTTAAAACTGTCAAGCACTGCACCAGTAACGTTAAAAAGCATGTCTTTAAAATGGAGACCCTTTTTCAAAAAAAACTTATAACTAGCCAGCCAAAAATAAATATCGTAAGACAGTACCACAAGAGGAGCGCCATTTGAGTCGTAAAAAAGCCTCATTAATAATAAATAATTGTCGTTTCTGCTATTCGCAGTGGATCTTCGAAAGGCTTTGCAGCCTGTCTAATCATAGACCGTTCTCTCTTACAAACATCAATGATCTTTTGCCATATATTTAACTATTTAGACGTTTAAATGAACACTTACAGACTTAGCACGCTCTGTGAAAATATCAGTGGCGTAATTGCCATAGTCATCCCAGAGAGGACTGGAACTGTTTCCAACATCCCAGTGCAGATCCAGACCCCAGAAGCCTCCGTTTGATCTGGAGTGGTCGAAGTAGTCTATGCCACTGTTGTACGCTCCCAGAAAGTCGTCGAAGCCTCGACTTGTGGGTAAGTAAGATTGAGTGTAACTGCCTGAAAACCAAAATCAAGTTTGCAGAGAGCAAGCATGTTGATGTTTGCATTATATCTCAGTGAGCTTAAAATTTCCAAGTAACAAACATGCATTTTCGACCTATTTAAAAAAAAACTTGTCGGCGGCGCAGATTTTTTTTAGTTCTGTTAAAATGCTGTCTTCATTGCGTTCTGGCGGCGTTCCAAAAATCATTTTGGTTGACATAAAAAGGAAGGCCGACAAAATCCCCCCCTTCGAGAAGATCTTATTTCCGCCCCAGATGGATTTGAAATATCATGATTTATAAAACCTACTGGCTTAGAAAAAAATGTAAATGAATTAGATCATTAATTCAGAAAAATTCAGAATAAGATTTCAGTTCAAGACAACCTAATTAATTTAGTGGGTTACTTCAGAAAAATTAAAGGACTTCTATTG